CGGGCTGGCTAACTGAATGATACTGCTGGTTTCTCTGATGAGTGATGTTTACACTGATAGGACCAGTGTGAATCTGTGTGGAGTGAGCAGCAGTCAGAAGTAACTGAGTACTTCAGAACTGTTTAAATATAGCATGTCACAATTTTAAAGCACTTTAAATCCACTATACTTTTCACCACATGTTAAACATCATCCTTTCTCATTCTTATATTGCTTTGCAGATCGAGGTTTTAGGCCTTTAATGAACATCTAATGAGCGTCCAACATTATCTCCCTGCCTGACTGTAAAATACTTTAGATACAGTCATTAGCTCAGAGTAAGTAGACTATCAGAGGAGAGACTTTAACATATGAAATGAGCTATAATACTCTGACTTAGCACTAATGGGAATTTCTATATGTACCAATACTTTTGACACATCATGCGCATACATGGCATATTAAATACTTTTACTGTTATCTCAGTTACACTAATTGATATTTTTTAGCCTAAATGATGAGAGACTGTAGGTAGAGAGGGTCTCGTCTATCCAGATCCTCCCATGATTATTACCTCAACAAACAGAGCATAAGGTTGTGGGTATTTGCTTGTCGTCCATAGTTACTCAGTCTGCACTCACCCTGTCTACTTGGTGAATATGGCATTTCCTTTTACTGATACTGATAGGGGAGAGCGGGGTAAGATGAGCCATTTTTCATATTTCGGATCACTACATCAAGACAATCATAGTTTTGTCTCTTACTAGTGTATCTGCATATATTTCAGGGTGTTGTTCATCCCTGCAAATCAACAGAATGAGTGTAAACATAACTGTCTTGATATTATGCCAAAAAAGTGGTCTTCTATGGTCAACTTACCCCGTGTATGGGGTAAGCTGATCATAGGAGACCACTTTATGATAATGTTGACACTATTAAACTGGTACAATAATTATTTATATTATTATTGCATATAACTGCTAAAAGCTGTCTTGTAAAAAAAACCATTTTAACATGAGAATGTCTTTAAGTGATTCAGAACATTCACAGCTGTATTTTTTAAAAGAAAAAGTAAAACATTTCAACAATCTGAACTGAAACTCTGATTCTCTCATCAGACTCCTTTACTTTCTCAGTTACCCCAGAACTACTATTATGACTTTATTAGTCCTCTCAGCTAAAATGGTGGACTTTTATGTTAGGTTTTTGACCTCATGTTGTGGCGCATAGATACCACAATTGATGTATAAAACAAATTTTAAATGATCTTTTTTGGTCTGAACAAAATTCTAATAAAACTTGACGGACTAAATTCACTTTCAAGAGTGAAAAATGTTATCTAACCCCTTCACCCATGTGCTTCTAACCTTAACAGACTCCATGAGCTAATGTCCATCTTCTAAATATTTGGTCACATGATCAATTTCTTTGACCATTTCTAAGAAACAGGAGGTGGCTCAACTTAGCCCACTCTCCCCTACTGATACTAATGTTGCGATCGCAAATATTAACGCAAATTCAACCAATAACCGCAGGCGCTCCAATTTCGTCCAATCAGCGCGAATTTCTCGCAAATTCTCTCTGTCTCCCGCGCTTTTTTTGTAACATGTACGTCATCATCTTCACTTCCTTGTTTACATTGAGAAAATGAAGACGTGTGACGCTAAACGTTCGCATTTACTGACAAATATCACCGCCAAAGTTCGCGTAAGTCAATTTCCACATGTGTTCTTCTGCAATGTGCAACACACAGATGCGGAAGTCGTCGCTCGACAGACACTCTTTAACTGGGAAACATGCAGGAGAAGAGCTGAAACTCTAAAGAGGACAGACAGACAAGTCAGGATGACAGAGGCTGCTGCATCCAGAACAACAGCAGGGGCTGAAAGGGGCAAGGTATGCGCGGATATACTCTTTAAAGCAATTAACTTATAAGTAAAGGATGACAAACTTGTGGACAAAAAGTTTGCTGCTCCGTTTGACATGTTGTCATGATCCTATACTCGTGTTTTTTTTTTTAAATATGAGATCATTTTCTTCCACTTTAAGAAGCTAATGAGTGGATGGGATGCAGGGGTGCATTCTATGGCACAACCTATTAAAACCTGTCTCTCTGTTTGGCTAACAGTGTTTGGAGCGCTCTGTGTGGAAGATATCACGCATTAATCTTATGGTTTATCTTATTTATCTTAAGGTTAAAAACTCACAAAAGACTGTTGTTGCTAATTTGCAATTGCCCCTGTTCCTGTGATTTTAGTAAAAGACGCCTAAAATGATCGCAACTTTCATCGCAATTTTTTTTTGGAAAAGCTGCTGCAAAATCAGGCATTTTAGGCCGTAACGATCACATAAAAAGCCAGTGAAATCATGGAGTGACTGATATAGTAAAGACAGCTCCATAAGGGCCTGTGCCCACTGATAATACCTGCATAATGTACTAATTTATTTTCAAAGCTAATGCAGTTCTCTGTTTGCAGTACTCCAGCCACAACAATAACAATAATAATCATAATAAAAATAATAATTAATCTCTGCAGTGTTGCTGCACTCTCATTTGAAAATAGTTTTAACTTCTGAAACGGTATCGGTACTGGCGAATCATAATCAAAACAGGGCTTCAACACTTTTAACAACAACTGCATTGGAGCTGTCAATCACTTACTTTTGTTTGTTTGTTTACGTGTTTTTGACTATGTCCAGATTAACAAGTCCTGCTGCTGATATAATCATACAATTCCCTCCATTGTTTTTACATTTTTTTGGTAAACTGTCTGTGTAAAATATAGTATAAATTTATATTATATATTTATTGAGTTTATTGATATATTCAGTATATCATTAATTTATTATATATATTATGTACTGTATATTTATAAGTCTTAGATGTGCCAATTGATGAAAGTAAAACTGCTTTAAAACATTCTTTAAAACTAAGCAACAGTAAGCCTTAGAAACACCCCGAATTAGAGGTTGTTAGTCTGTTAGTGGACACAGGCCCTAACTCTTGCAGGTTGTGAGTCCTGCCTGTGCAAGAAATACTTGCCCTAACTCTTGCTGTGTGAATGGTGGCTATTTTGTCATCATGTTTCACTTCTTTGTTTTGTATTATAACATGGTAAGGGTGTTGTCTCAATCTAGATCATGCAGCTATAAAGTTTTTTGAAAAATCAAAGGATAAAATTTTCAAAACAACAAATAAGATTCAAGATGGCATGACCTGAGTTTGTCAGGTCAAGGTGATGTCTAGTATTCTCGTAAAGAGCTGCTGTGTTTATTGAACGCCATAAACACCCGCTCTGTTTGAGATGCATCATGTGTTTTTGTGCCCTTGTTTCGGTTCAATTGCGAACTTTATGGCCCCCTAAGGGAAATTTGTCCTCAGACTGGTTTTGCAGTAAAACACACAATAAAGCCACATAATAAGGAATAGGACTAAAGTAAACGCTATAAACACATTACCTTAAAGTGCAAAAAAGCACATATAACAAACTGCTAAGTCACACAGCACAGCTATAAAGACCTGCATCCGCCAATGAGACCAGATCTCTGATGTGACCATAAATATTTCCCATCAGCGCAGAGAGCCAAGTTCCTCTGGAGGACACTTTAAGGGTGTGACACGAAACTGAAACACTGTGGCGCATACAAACAGTGTGAAACTGCAATAAGCACATTCCATTGATTTTTTTTTTAAGCTTAATCCTGTCTGTACAGTTTTTGCACAGTATGAACTCGGTTCATTCCTTTTATGCCACTTTGCCCTCATTTAATTCACCTTTGTCTTTGCCAGACAATTTGAAAAATAATTTCCTAAAGGGAGTAATAATTATTTGGTCTAAAAAGTGAAGCTGCAACTACCCAAGGTGTTATTGTATTTTTTGCTCTCCAGCATCAAACACAACAGCAGCCGGGGTACTTATTGTGTGTTTTTGGAGGGGTTTCAGCAGGGTTTTGTTGTGCGTTTCTGTGTGCATGTGAGTGAATGAGTTTGTATGCGTCACAACAGTGAAATTGATCCACCGAGTTTTTATTTTAAGCTCCCATGACACACTCCACTATTTGTGACTTCAGAGGCTTGCGTCTTTGTTCGAATCAAAAGATTCTTTGTGTCCTTTGTAATACTGATAATTATCTCCATCAGTGTGGGCTTTGATGTTTACATAGCCGTATTATGCTGTGTGTTTGTGCATGTGTTCATTACGAGCGTCGGCGAGTGTCCACTGTTTGTTTGATTCTGTCCGGCTGTGTGCGAGCGTGAACATCGTTTCAGGTATTTGCACTGCGTGTGCTTTGGAAATACAGGCTGTGAACAATGAAGCATTTGTTACATCTTGTTAAAATGATTGTAATGTTGAACAATAGCAGATATTGATGCTGTTATCTACCTCACTTTGTACTTTCATGTTTGAGCCTGTCAAAATTTTTCCTTTTTGAGGACACTCGCTCTTGTGGGATCATGCCAAGAATTCAGCAGCTGAACTGAGACTTGCTAAACACTCTATTCTGTCGTCTCTGACTCACTTTTCCTGCTGACAGTTTTTCACTACTGCTGTACGTTACAACTGTTACATAAAATGTAATTCCAACTATATAAGTTTTTAAAAACCAGATTTGGAGAGCATAATATCTCATTTTATAAATCAACTCTACAGTAGAGTAAGTAGATTTGTAGAAAAATAGAAGCAGAGGTGATCAAAATCAAAATTGGAGATTTAAAGATTAACACAGTAACTGACATTAAGTGCAACTTTGACATGTTTTGTAATAGGGCTGCACGATATTGTAAAAAAATAACATTGCAATTTTTGCGATATATATTGGGATATTAAAACATTGTAGCTTACTTTTATTGTGCTGGGACGTTATTGTGGAAACAGATGAACACAGAACACATGTTTTGGTCGACATCATCCTTCTTGTAACCGAAATAATTCCAGATAACTGACTTTCCTTTTATTTTTAGCAACAAGTCTTAATTTTTCGGTGATTTTCTCTGGTTTGTTGCTCATTTTGCAAACGTTGTTGTTGTTGTTACTGGTGTTGTGCCGAGAAACGCACGTCCGCCGAGAATTGCATGCACCGCTTGTAGTAGAGTGGTCCACGAAAATGTATAATTTAAAATCCATTCAGTTCTTATTTGTGGGACTAAACAGTGATGAGTAATGTTCCCAAAGTAATTCTCGGTGGGTATGCGTTTCTCGGCATAACACCGGTAGTGCCAGCGACTCACTCACGGCAGAAAATTAAAAGAAACTATATCCAAACTTCCTTTGACCATAAACTAAGATGTCATCAAAGAGGAGACGATACGCTGTCTGTTTCATTGCCTGAAAAACTACAGTGGTTACAATAAAACGATGCTAAGAACTTTGTATTCATTGTACTTGTACTTTTCCACTCAGGCGGACACTCATGGGCAGCCTAGGTGTTTGGGTTCTGGCTGTGGCCACCCTGCTGGGGACTTCAGGGTGCTTGCTGGCTGAAGGGCACAAGAGCAGCAGGAGGAGCAACGAGGATTCAGCCAGCATGTCACGTACCTCCTCAAAGGAGCATCACTTAAAGGTAAAAATGCTGTACAAGTCTCGTATATGCTGTAAGCATCTTCCTGCGTTGTCATTTTCTGTCTTTTACTCATATGTCAAATGCATTGCGTTAGTCATTATAGGGACAAGCAGGCTGTCAATCTTATCTGTCCTCCAGTACTGCAAAGATTTACTTAAATTCTGCAGTGAGTTACTGTGAAAGCGTGTTATTGAACAGTTAATCTAAATAGTTATCACCTATCAGCAAAAACTGAAATGTGGAAGCTTCCTCAAAGTAGAATTTATGATATATCTGTTGTTTTTGGTAGCATTATTGTCTAGAGGAAGTGTGCCTACTGTTAAAGCCTACCGATATATTTAACATTGTTTATATCCTGAGTTAAGTGTCACTTGTAACTGTCCACATAGTTTTAAACTTACTGAGTGCTCCTGCTGGACTGCAGTTCAACACAGAGAGGTTTCAGGTAGATATCAGCCTTTTTTGATTGGTTCATGAAATCATTACGTAAAGGGCGTAGCCTTTGTTCGTGCTGAACGCCACCGGTCCAGACCTCTGTCAATCTGTAGAAACTCCATCATGCTAGCTGCATCTGGGAGGCGGCTGTTTGATAAATTGCCGCTTAGCTACTGTAGGTTAAATCTTAAGGTTTAATTTCGATACGTCGATCCGTATGAGCTTTTTGGGTGGATTAAACAATTAGAGACATGTTTCAAGCGAAAACACAGACGTCCTGGTTCCAGACGAGGGTTTTTGTTGATCTACAACTTTCTTTACAACCTCTTAATTCTTAAGTCGCTGAGTAACCTGTTTTCCACGAAACATTAATGATGTTAATATAGTTTTTCTTATCTTTAGAAAACCAGCTTGTAATGAAAAACCTCACTCAGAGGTTATAGCCTCTGGTTATTATTGTATATTTTCAATGCTGTGTCGTCTTATATGCATCCCTGGACGTATTGTTTGCGAGGAAGGACCTCTCCTGAGTGTGAGGCCTTTTCAAGAGAAGGGTTGCCTAGTTACCTAGCAGTGTGATGCAGAAATCTTTCGTCCCTATCACTGCTTTTCACTACTGAAGAGAAGAGGAAATTGGCAGGTGGAGAAATGGGCCGACTGTCTGAGTGAGAGGTTAACAATTACTCTTTGAAAGTCGCTAGGACGTTGTTTGGTCATGGCAGCTGAAAGATAACATCTTTTTATACACAGAATTCAGCAGTCCCTGCTTTTTACTGTCTCTAAATTGAAAATGTTTCTCTCCCTGGCTTCCTCTGGTGGTTTTAATGACAATAAGAGTCTATCGTGAAGTAGACTGTCCCTGCTCAATATGGTGTTTTTGTGATTGTACTGCTTGATTAAACAAAATTTGGTATTTCATTTAATGTTGTTTATGGTATTAACTTCTTTCATCTTGCTATAACCATCTTAAAGTGCCCTGTAGGAGTATTAAAGCTGTACCGGTTTCTCTACAAACAATTACCTTTTGAAGTTTGTCTGTCGGCCCTCATACCTATTAGTGCAGTCTGTTTATCCCAAAACCAAACTCCAAGGAATTTGAAACCACTCGCACTTCATACCACGAATTTCAATGAGCCTGCAGGATTGTTGGTGTTGTAGGTGTTGTAGACAGCTGCTTAGATTGAATGACAAACAGATTTAACCTTGTTTTTAACTTTGACATCCACTGTTCAAAAGTATTTGTGCTTCCACATGCAGCTGCTCACTTGCTTTGGTTTCAAAAGGAAAACCTAGGGGGAAAGGATTTTGCCAATGCCGGTTGCTTTTAATAGATGTTTGGTCCTGTGTGGCACATATCTCTGCCACTGCCTGAGAACTTGTTTGATTAAGGTGTGATGCAGCAAATTGAACCCATCCAGACGACAGAGAGGACTGTGGCTTTTATTGAAACAAAGTCATAACTAGGGCTGGGCGATAAACCCTAAATTACCGAAATTAAAATTTATGACAATAACCAACATCATTTCGCCCATATTGGTATGTTTGGTGTCTAACAAATGAATGAATAAAAGCTGGTTTTGGATGTGTGTAGGTAGGCTATGGTCTCATGTCACTTTAAGACGCTGTCCCATGTCAGAGACGTGACTCCACCCCCCCATCCAGTCTGTAACAAAGAGGGAAAGACAGGTGAGGAGATGGAGGAAGGTTCAAAAGTTGTAGCAGCTGAAGTAAATGAAGTTAATGTGGGAGGAGTTATCAGCCATTTATCGTTATTGAGATGAATTGCTCAATATATCGTGATAATGATTTGAGGCTATATCGCCCAGCCCTACTCATAACTCTTGCTCTCATGTTGCTGTGTGTGTTTCTATAGTAGGTAAACAGATAGAGGGGTTGTGAGTGATGAGAGCCTGTGATGCAGCAGAGTAAATGAGAGCGAACATCAAATTGTTTATTTTTAGAAATCATTTCCAACCACAAATGCAAATTAATTCAGAGAATTGATCCAGCCGTTTGTTTTTCAGGCGTCAAAAACATTTTACTGCAGGATGAAATAAGAGTGCAAAAGGTCAGATGATCTATTGAACTTGTAAGATACAATTTTTCAATCGAGAAAAAGGTCATTTTTGTTTTTGGCTTTTAGTAATTAACGAATAGTTCTCACTAACTGTCAAAAAGTAAATCTTCTTTGAAATTCTCGTCCTCTCTGAATTACCTGGTGAAAAAAGGTTTATATGACGGATGTAAAAGGAAACGGGATGGTATTTAGCCAGTGCTTATAAAAAGTTTATCAAAAAGATTTTTGTTTTCTCTTTTCAACTGTATTGGTGTTTCAAAACACAAGTCCCATAAAAGTCACATCTCAAACACATACTGAATTCATAAAATTCAGTTAATTTATTTATTCAGGTTTCTTTTATAAATCTGCATTTTAAGTGTTACGGTGTTACTGTTTAACAATGCTAATGTTACTAATGCCAGTTAGATTAACAAAGTGAAACAGTACAGTTATAAACTGTGTTTCTTTCCAACCTTGACCAACACATTTCAATTAAATCCAAACTAAGCGTTTTGCTGTATGAAATAATCTCAATGAAAACGCACGTTTTATTTTTTTAAGGATGCTTTTATCAAACTTAATTGAAAAATCAACAAGACACAAGTGGGTGCACATTGTAACCCTGTGCTGAGAGTGAGTGTTTGGTTTTCCCAGCACATAGTGGAAAGTGTAGAGTGCTTTTCTTTGTTTGCTTTAGATGCAGAGCCAAAATATATTTGTGTTTACCACACTGAGGAAACAAAGTTCTTGCTCATTCACTCTGCTAGTGACTAAAGCTTGTAAACAACTCCGGTCATTTTATTTCATGTGCCGAGCTGAATTAGCTTAGACCCAGAGGTCTCTCAAGCATGGTTCAGAGCTACAGGTCTGGTGAGGCAACAAAACAAAAGTAATTTCAAACTAATCAATAATGAATGAAACGCAAAGATTATAAAAGGCCAGGGCTGAAGCAACTCCTCCGCTCAAACTTTCTTCTCAGACAGTGTGACGACATGCAGACACATGTAATTCTTGAACATGTATTACTCATCTTGACAAGTATGAGGATTTCCTTCATTTCAGAATGATACTGAGTAGGACTGGGCGATTTGGCAAAAAAAATGATCATGATATATTTTTTATCGTCCGATCTTGATTATTATCAGTTTTTTTTTTTTTTAACTGCCAGTTTTAAAGCATCTGTCCTAAAACTTAAGAAAGTAGAGATTAGTTCAACATTTTATTACCATTCAAAGTAAATAACAAAGCAAATTGAATAAGATTAACTTAGAAAAATATAAAAATTATTTTAACTGAACAGTACAACAAATGTAGATAAATACTAAATAATACAGTGAGTTAGTTTACAGTGTTTAGAGTGTTTTTGCAGGTATGCAAGAACCAAAATAAACAAATCGCCCCTTCAGAGATAATGAAGGCATCTTAAATGTAAACATTAGATGATATAAACATAATTTATACGATTAATTGCTGCTTTTGTCTGGTAGCAGCACCCCTAGTTGCGGCTAAACTGCTAATGCTACTCGTGCCGTTGGCAGTGTCAGGCTGTACAGACTCTGCTCGCGTTTTCATGCTTTCCGCATAATCACTCGGGAAGAACTTCTTCAAATGATTTAACAGATTTGTTGTATTGCCGGTTTTTGAGGGCACCAACTGCGCACATACCTTGTGCATCGGCTTCATTGCTCGATGTTACTTTGGAGAAACCCACACAACCGATGTTGAATAACTTTTCTTCTCAACAATAACATCTTTGGAGGACGACTCAAAGTCATAGCTGACATCTATTTTACTGCCCTCAGCTCCGCGTTTAGCTCCACGCTCGGTCATTCTGTTTACGTCTCCTGTTTACTTCTCCGGTAACTTATAGAAGTGAGCAGGAAAAGCTTGACTCTGATTGGCTGTTATCATGCAGATTTCCGCTATGTTTGATTGAGTAAATATGCTCACAGCTGATCACTGTGATCGAACAGAAATTTATCACGATCACTAATCATGATCATTTAATCGCCCAGTCCTAATACTGAGTCTATTGCAACTAAATCCAGCTAATATAGAGTAAACCAGGTTAGTGAGTGATTTGCCCTGAAGTATCTGGGTCTTGTAAACGAATGCATGCAAAGAGATACTGTCCATTATTGTATTCCACACTGCAGTGTGCTCTGTCTCA